TTATTAAACAGACTAACGTATGTGATTGAAGATAAATTTTCTTGTAATCTGTACAGGTTTCTGAAAGGGAAGGGAACATCTGATTGTTTAATTCAGTGTTTATCCAACGATGCAGAAGACTGTAGTGTATTTGTTGATTTACAGGGAGCCTTTGATAAAGCCAACGGAGAAGTGATTATGTATGAGTTGGCAAGGTTAGGGGTCACGGGAACGTTGCTTAAGTGGATCGGTAACTATTTGTCCGAGAGAAGATATTGTATATGGTTTCAAGGCTGTTTATCAGAGGAAAGAAGTCTTGAGCTGGGAACACCACATGGAGGCGTTTTAAGCCCAACACTTTTTAATGTACTGATGAAAGAATAGCCTCAGAGAGATATCCTCAGCGCGTCCAGCCAATTATATATGCAGATGATATATTGATGATACAAGGGACCACACAGCGCCTTTTACAGACGGCGCTAAACAACTTGCTCAAACATTAGGGCTGGTTATACATGGAAAAAGGACAGTTTCAGAGCAAACAAAGGGGTAACGTGAGCTTCGAGTTCAATGAAAAACAGGTGGAGAAAGTATTGACATATAAATATCTGGGTGTATACATTGGCTTTACTGCCTCAAGTAAAGATGCTGAGGTGAATCATATACTGACTCAGTGTATGGCGCGATGGCGGCACTTAGAGCACTTGCTCGCCGCGGAGTAGGCGCTGGGGTGTCCTTGCTGAGGCTAATCTACATTAGTACGATAAGAGCCTTGGTGGATTATGCAGCACCAGGACTTTCCATAGCCTGTCAAGGGAGACTCCGAAAACTGGAAACCATACAGAATGAAGCTATGGGAATAATCCTCGGGTGCCAGAGGAACACCAGGATAGCTATAATGAGAGTAGAGACGGGATTGCAAAGCATGGTACAGAGAGTGAGAGAGATCAGTGCAATAGCGGCCATCAGGTTAATGAGAGGGGCCAGTGGAAAGAAAGTGGTGAGAGATATGGCCAGCGGTTTTAACAACACAAGATCATTTTATAGGCAAGGCAATCGAAGATATATGAGGGAACTTAGAAATGGTATTCAATATTATGAACTGAAGGATTATTGTCATTCTCATCAGATACCTCCTAAGGTGCCGCCATGGGAGGATCAGGATAATAACGTAGATGCAGACCCTCTTTGTATGAATAAATCCATGTATGAACCAGGTCAACTTAAAGCAACGTACTGCCATAAAATAAATAATCTAACACGACTTGACATTGCTCATGTTTCCTGTGATGGGTCAGTCCTGGAGGATGGCAGAGCTGGGTGCGGAGTCATCATCAGACAGTTCACTGGGAGTGGAGTGGTCACCATAAACACTGGGATAAGACGGAGTAATCACATATCTTCATCACAAGCTGAACTATGGGCAATGCGGACGGCGCTTAAACTGATTGAAAGCATTAATAAGGATTCTTACACTGGACTCACTTAACAGCAAGAACCCTGTGTTTGGCCACATAGTTGGCGAGTGTCGTTAGATAGCTCATAGGTTGCGAGGTCAGGGGCGTGTGATTACATTTGTGTGGATCCCTTTCCATGTAGGTGTCACCTTTAATGAAGCTGTTGATGAGATCGCCAAGGGGGCGACCAGGAAGCATGAGGTGGACATTCAGTGCATGCGGACTCTTAAACAGGCGAGGAGCAATATCAAGAGGACACAGTTAGACTATGACGAGGCCAGGAAGGGCGAAGTGACTGAGAAGAGCGATACTCTGAGACACTATATGCATCTAGCGACGAACACAGTCTTTGCTTACGGGAATGGCAAGAGCAAATGGAAAGACAGTGTGTACATGAGGATCAGGCTTGGATATAAATACTACTGGGAGTTAGGCGTTCTAACGAGCGAGCAGGAAAAAGAATGCAGGGTGTGTAGTTTACCTAGATCACATACACTGATACACTATTTATTATAGTGTAATCTAAGTAATATATATATTTTTAAGTTATTATACCTAATTTCTGTTTGTGAATAGTGAGCCCATATAGGGACTTATTAAATAAGGGGTGGGGATAACTTAAGTTACCTGTTTATGTTTATGAATAACTATTTAATGATAAGAAATATATGAGCTATATTCAATGATACACTATTCACTAAATATTTCTACCTATCTCCATATCTATATCTTTTTACCTTTTAATCTATCTATCGGTCTTCCATCCTCCGTCTCTCACTTGCTTCTATATACAATCTATGTCTGTATCTATCTACGTTATCTATCGTATATGCGTACCCCTCTTTATCCGCTCTCTGCCACTCTGTCTATTCAATTATTCTCTCTACCTCCTCCTTCTCTCGTTTTATCTATCTAGGCTACTTATGTATCGTAACTACTACCTCCTCCCCTCTTCCTCCGCACTCTTCTTCTCTCTATCTACTCAATTATCTTCTCTGCATCCTTCTTATTCTCTCATCCCCCTTCTTCGTCATCGATAATGATGCGTTACACCCGACTCGGCTTTGCAAAGGTGGTCCATTAGTGACAAGCTTTTTCTTAGAGCTCTTTTGGCTTACTAAAAGCTCTTAGCGTCACTGGGAAGTAGCAGAGACACGACTGGAAGATGCTCTCGCTCTCTCTCCTCTGTCTCCTCTCCTCTCCTCTCCTCTCCTCTCTTCTCCTCTCTCCTCTTCCTCTCCTCTCTCTCTCTCTCTCCTCTCTCTCTCTTCTCCTCTCTCTCTCTCTCTCTCTCTCTCTCTCTCTCCTCTCCTCTCCTCCTCTCCTCTCCTCTCTCTCTCTCTCTCTCTCTCTCTCTCTCTCTCTCTCTCTTCTCTCCCTCTCCTCTCCTCTCTCTCTCCCTCCCTCCCTCCTCTCTCTCTCTCTCCGTTTGTTATATGTCGATATGGAAAGACATGCAAGAATTTATCATTTTTTGTTGGTTACACTATCTTTCAAAAAAAAAAAAAAAGATTAATCAAGCGGTACATGAAATATATTTCCAAAAAAAGTAATAATAATCACTGTTTCAACCACAATCAGCCATCATCATTATCACCACCGCAGACAGACAGACAGACAAACCGATATGCGAGTACATGTGCACAAGTACAAACAAGCAGAACTCGTGTGCCCCCCCCCCCCCCCGCCGCGCTGTACAGGAGTGCCGTGGCATCCCCCCCCCCACCTTGGCACAATGAGTCCAATACACGTGTCAATTAACCCTATGTCACCCATCGTAACGAAATAAATTTGGTGCAATTTGATTTAATACACTTTGATCCGAGACAACATGATAATTCAAGAAAAAAAATAAAATAAGAAATATAGAAAGTAAAACAAAATGAAGAAAAGAAAGTTATTGGCATTGAAATTAATATTGATGTGATAATTCGAGAAAAAAGAAGCCTTTAAAAAAGTAAAACAAATTGAAGAAAAAAAAGTTATTGGCATTGATAATTAATATTGATATGATAATTCAAGAAAAAAAAGCCTATAAAAAAGTAAAACAAAATGAAAAAAAGAAAAGTTATTGGCATTGATTTTTCTTACTGGTTTGTGAAATCAGATTGTATTTTGTGCGGGAAAAAAGCCTTTAAAAAAAGTAAAACAAAATGAAAGAAAAGAAAAGATATTGGCATTGATTTTTCTTATTGGTTTGTGAAATCAGATTGTATTTTGGCGTTGAGAGGAAGGTCAAAAGAGGAAGCCATGCGCGAAAAAGGATTCATAAACTTGTTAATTTTGAAACTGAGTGACAGAGATGAAGATAATTCTATTTAAGTTTGCTTTTTGGTGTTAATGACGAATTTATTGTGTTTATTTCCGTATTATTAACACAGCGATGCGAAAATGACAGAGAGCGAGAGAACGGAAGAGAAAGAGAGAGAGAGAACGGAAGAGAGAGAGAGAGAGAGGAGAGAGAGAGAGAGAGGAAGAACCGATGAACGGAAGAGAGAGAGAGAGACAGAGAGCGCGAGCGCTGAAGAGAAAGAAAGAGAGAGATGGAAGAGAGAGAGAGAGAGAGAGAGGAAGAGAACTAAATAGACGGATCAATCTATGAACAGTGACTGACAGAATTAAAAGGTTATTGCCCTTCTTCCTTTATGCAACTTACAGAATTAAAAGGCTATTATCCAAGTTTCTTCCTTTAATACAAACGTCTGTTTTATGATGTCGATATGAAAAGACATAAAAGAATATATTATTTTTTATTGCTTACACTTATCTTTACAAAAAAAAAATCTTTAAAAGATGAATCAAGAGGTACATGGAATATGTTTCCAAAAAGTAATAATAATAAATTGTTTCAACCACAATCAGTCACCATCATTAACACCAGACAGACAGACAAACGGATATGCGGAGACATATGCACTAATACAAACAAGAATGCGTGCATACACAAACAAACAAATGAAACAACCCCCTCCTCCCCCACTTCCCACCTTAAAACAAATACAGTAAGAGCAAAATCTTAACCCACTCTACTCCTCCCCCACCTCTCCCCATTTCTCCCCCACCTCCCCCCACCTCTCCCATCTCCCACCTCCCCCCTCCCCCCCCACCCCCCCCCCTCTCCCCCACCTCCCCCCACCTCCCCCTCCCATCTCCCACCTCCCCACCCTCCCCACCCCAACTCTTCCTTCTTACGTCAGCACACCCCACTTCCCTCCGTCCTCTCCCCTACTCTCTAGTCCCACCGCGCTCCCCTCCTCTTCCCACTCCTCCCTCCTACTCCATCCCTTCCCCACTCCCTCCCTCCCTCATACTCGACCCTCCACCCCTTCCCAATTTCGTTCCACACCCTTCCTTATACGCAACACTCCACCCTCACCCTTCAGGCATCCTTATCCCTCATCCCCCCTGCACCCTTCCTCCCCCTCACCCTTGCACCCTCACCCTTCCTCCCCCCCCCCCTTCCCCCTTCCTCCCACCAACCACTCACCCTTCCACCTCCCCTGACCTTCCACCCACCCTCACCCTTCTCACCACCCACCCTCACCCTACCTACCCCTCCCCTCA